TATTTTCTATTACATAACCTCTCGGGTAAAAATGAGCTATTGAAGCTTTTATGTGTTAACAGTTTCAATTCTTTCTCTTTCTCTCTCTTGTCGGAGATTTTATTGGCTGCCATCAAACCACGGTTTCCAGAATTTTAAATCGGGTTACAACGGCCATTGCAAGAACAAGGCCTAATTATATTAGGATGCCACAAACTCCACAGGAAATTCTCAGAACCTCCACTGAGTTTTATCGCATCTGACGGTTTCCAAAGGTAAATGGATGTATCGATGGAACACACATGAAAATACAATCCCCAGGTAATGGGGGGTGCAGACGCCGAAGTCTATACCGGAAAGGTTATTTTTCAATAAATACTCAAGTACCTAATTGTGGAGAGCAACCTCAAAATAATGGATATAGTAGCAAGGTGGCCTGGGTCTGCACATGACCAAACCATTTTCAACAACAGTAAATCAAGGCTCGTTTCCAAAACAATGAGTTTGGAGATAATGTATTATTAGGTAAGTAAAAGTGTTTTGAGAGTTGGCCAAGAAAGGAATGCCTGGAAAAAGAACACAATTTGAAGATGAAAATTTTGGAAAAAGAATATGCTGCATTCTCTAAAAAAAAACAATATTGTTTGTTTGATGTAGCCTATAACTAGACAGATAGTTTATAATTTTTTTTTCAATGTACCAGTTGAGGTACCATTATTTCTATTTAGTTGAGATTTATTTATACAGGGTGTCCCAGCAGAAACTGAACCATTTTAAATGGTTATAACTTTTAAACCAGGTGTGCTAGCTACCTGCGGTTTGCGCCATGCTTTTTCTCTTGGCCTAAATTTTTTTCTAGTAGGTTGCAAATTTTTTTGAAACTTATACAGGGCAAGTAAAAAAATCCGTTTTTCAACATTGAAGCTATTTTTAATGGAACACCCTGTATATCACAACGTCAAAAAAAAGAATAATGTTCAAGGTATCCATGTACGAATAGACATAGTCCCTAAAACTTGAAGTTTTTGCCGTGAAAAATCAAAATCGAAATATTGGTAAGTATTTTTGCAAACGCGTAAAACTATACATAATGATGTATATGTATATGTTAGCCATTCTGTTCCATGACTTGTTTAACATTTCCTGGGGAATCGCTTCAATGACATTACAAAATGTTCCGCTTAAGATCTTATAGGCTATTTGAGCAAAGGATTACAGCATCTTTCATTAACATAACTCCAGAGAAGAAAGTCTAGAACTCTCAAGTCAGGAGAGTAAGGTGTCCATTCTATAGGACCTCCATATACGTCTTTCCCCAAATGTCATATCCAGTGATTCTCTTGCTATTAAAGAATAATAAGGTGGGGGCACCATCCTGCTGGAAATAGTTATCATCCAATATACCCTCCTGTCTTAACTGTGTAAAAAAGAACATATCAGTGCATACAATTTCTGTTATTATTGGTTCATTAATGGAAATGGTCTGTATTTTTTCTTAATAGAGATTGCACACCAAACTGTTACTTTTGGGGTATCTCTATTTGACGAGTTCCAGAGAAAATACTCTGGAACTCGTAAAATTTTCTTGGAAATTGTATTTTAACTTAATTGATATGTTACTAGACAGTTACAAAATTCTTTGTCATAGTGATATCAAGTACCTGCAACATGAAGTTGCATGGGTTTGCAAAAATACCAAGATTTCGATTTCGATTTTTACCTCTAAAACTTCAAGTTTTAGGGACGATGTCTATTGGTACATGGATACCTTGAATATTAATCTTTTTTTGACGTTGTGATATACAGTGTGTTCCATTAAAAATAGTAGAGAATTTTGATGTTGAAAAACTAATTTTTTTTCACTTGCCCTGTATAAGTTTTAAAAAAATTTGCCACCTACTAGAAAAAACTTTGGACCAAGAGAAATCGAATGGCGCAAACCGCAGGTGGCTAGCACACCTGGTTTAAAAGTTATAACCATTTAAAATGGTTCAGTTTCGGCTGGGATTGTTATTTTTGAGTTTTTGTATTTATTTCAGAGTTTTTCAATGTGTATTTTTTTTGTGATTAGTTTCTACTTGAGTTCCTGTCTTAGTTCTTATCTGTGTTAATATTTATTTCAGAATTGTTTGGTTTTTGATACAAGTAACTTTATCCTTTATCGCATTTTTGACAGTAATTAATACATAACTGCATTCAAAATTGAGTGGTAAAGTGCCATTTCACCAAGATAGCAGCACTTTACCACATAGCAACCATTACCTGTACCTACCTATTGGTTTTACCATGAAATAATACACAGTGCAGTTTTTATTATGATCAAAGTTTATTTTAGTTATTTACCTAACAAATGCGGAAAGTGATACTTTACCGCACGCAACGTTAAGGGCGGTAAAGGCACTTTCCGCATGTGTTAGGTACAAAATTTTACCTATGAGCATCTACATCTCCAAAAAAAGACATTGATAAAATTAGTTAATGAATCAGATTATTTAATGAAATTAGATAAGATTTAGAAATGATCAAAAATCCATTTTCTGAAAAAGAGAGGATTTTTGATTATAAATATCAAATTCTACTTTACCGCGCACTATGCGGTAAAGTGCACTTTACCGCACACTTTGTATTCTACTTTACCGCATACTATGCTGTAAAGTTAACTTTACCGCACACTATGCGGTAAAGTGCACTTTACCGCATGGTGTGCGGTAAAGTGATACTTTCCATTTGCAAATACGTGCGGTAAAGTGCACTTTACCGCACGCTCGTAGGTAAATTTATTTACAGTAGATTTTGAAAGTAAGTATTAATTTATGTATACCGAACAGTATTGTTGAGACCTCCCTGTGCATGTCCAATCAAAATTTTATTATTGACATTGTTGGTCAGGTAAATCGCAGGGGCAATTTCTTGAATAACTTCTGGAGGTTCCACATCTCCCATAGATAATGCAATATTGTGGAGGACAGCTGAAGCGATAACAATAGCCTCCACTTTTACTTGTTTCAAACGTATTACTAAAGAAAGTATTAGAAATCTGCTTTTCCAAATTCCAAAGGATCTCTCTATGGGATTCCTAGTCCTTATTTGCTCTTCATTAAATAATTGTTCAGCAGGGGTTTGAAGATTTAATAGAGGTGTTATAGTATGTGGTTTTATTGCAAATCCACTATCAGCTACAAGGAAGTGTCTCCATACACTCTATGTTGGAAATCATTTCTGACTCTGCTATTTCTAAATATGTTGGTGTCATGAGCAGAGCCTGGCCATCGACACACAATATCCTGAAATTTGAGGTCAGAGCTGCAAATAGCGTAAAAAATCCTTGCCTGAAAATATTCATTTCAGCTTCAGTTCTTGGCATTTTTATAAATTCTTGTCCCAATCTAGCAATTGCCCCTAAAACAATATATGTATACTTTTCGGCTTGCTGTTGATTTTTCAATTCCTCTGAAATCGCCAACAAGTTGCAGAAAACTCCCAGTGGCTATAAACCGTAGAGTAAAGGCCGAAACCCACTAGCAACACGCCACGTCATGCTTCGCCACGCCATCATGCGTATATTCTTCCATTTATTTAAATGTGCCGCGTACACAGTTGCCACACGCGATACCACGTCATGGCATGCCACGCCATCCGTCCATTTGCACACAAACTGTCCCACGTGAACCTGTGTCACTTGGCGTGGAGTGGCGTAGTATGGCGTGGCGTCTTGCTAGTGGGTTTCGGCCTTAATGCAGACCATTTCAGTAGGTGTTACTGCATGGTTTCTAAAAAAAATACATAAAACATCAAGCAATCTAATCTAACACAAATAAACAATATAACTCTTGCTTACTTGTCGGTAACAGATGAAATTGTTTAGAAATTTAGTCTATGATAAACCCCACAGCTTGTTTCTCCAACCTGAATCTGTCCTTAAACTCTTTATCATTCCAAATGTTCATATGATCTGGTCTATTTATGAATACCTGGGTGGCTCGAGGATGTGCAACAATATCAACTAATTCTAAAAAGTCTTCGTCGTCTGTAATATCTTCCCACTCAAGATCCATTTTTAGTTGAATATAAATACCAAATAGTCCAAATATCAACTTCAAAAAAAATATATATTCAAAAATCAAAAGCCAAAGTGATCCCTCAAAAATCAAACAAAACAAAACATAGGAGAGTGAGGTTAGAAAGACCCAAAAAAGAGTTGAACTGCTCTTGAACGCCCAAGTTCGAACGTTCAAGATCAACCACAGTTCACAGTCTGAACCGACCATGAACAACGAGTTTTTTTCTTTGTACCACTAATCAGTGTGAACTTTGGTTCAACGTACGTTGTACAACCGGGCGTTAAACTTTCACTGGTGATGGAACCTGGACAAGCGCGCTTTATACAGATCCAGCGTTCAGTAGAATTCTTATTTCGAAACTTCAAAGAATATTTGTATCCAGAATGTAAAATGGAAACTTGGCCTCGTTGAGTTTCCACGACTTGAACTTCCATCGTCTTTCAATACAAAAATAGTAATAACAATAGAACTATCACTTCACAAATCTAAAGTGCAAACTGAAATAATTATGAAAATGAATTGCCTTTCCGTTATATGCAAAAATTTATAATTGGTACCTCTATCTACCCGAGTACCTGACCCGGGGGTTCTTATTGTATTCGATATTCGACTCAATTAACCCACCTGGAACATACTAAAATTATTATCTAGGTACAGTAGAATTTAGGTAGTTTTTCATTACGCCCGAATTGCTAACGCACGAGTTAAGAAAACACCCTCTAGTGTGTGAATATTATCAATAAACCAAATAGGCGTTCTAGAAGCCCTGTATATGGTGTCATGCAACGAAATAAATAGAACAAAAACGCCTCGATATGTGGGTGTGCTATTAATTACGGACGGAGAAAACAAGGGTGCGGACTTCAAGGTTGTATTCATAATAATAATTCCACTCTCTCTGACCATTCGCGTTGAAAAATTAAACATTTCCATTGTGTTTTGTTTAGGTCTGTTCGATGTTTTCATAGTAAGTGTAGTTTTCGAAGAATCTGGAGCAGCAAGTGATTGCATTATTAATGACAAGAATAGTTAGTGTAGGATCTCCGAGTGGGCATTTGGTTTCGTGTTACGAATAATATATTTTTAATTCAAAGAAATGTCTGCCACATTTGAAGCAAATCCAGATAGCGACAACGAACCATGGATTGAACGGCCTGCAATCGAAGGCAGCGTCAAATTTAGAATATGGCACTTGATGTTTTTTAGCGTATGTGCTTTTGGAGTTGTGAGTAAGTTGATTTATGATTTTTTCTATAATTCTTTATATGACTAGTGATGAAATGATTAGGATTGCGATTTATATGTTTTGACGATTAACCGTAATTACTTTGATTATACGTGCGTTTTTATTCTCATCGGGTTTTCGTGATGAATTCCATCACTGATAAGTGATAAGCTCCGATGAGCAATACTCCATCAAAATTAATCGCCATTTTGTTGATGAATGAATCAACTAAAACACACTTCGATGTATTTTGACAATTAAATTGATATTCTTGACATTGAAAATTTGGGCTGTTAGTTTGGTTTGTGGATGTTATTTTTTTATTTGTTTCAAACCCCGTAACCCTACCATGATTGGAAGTCTAGCATTAGTTAAAAACATTGTTAGCTCCTCATCATCATCAAGCGATGATGATGAGAGTTCTTCAGATGAAATAATTTTAGTTGAATTGCAGAAAACAAAAAACATAAAAAAATACAAAATTATATTTCTTCCTTTATATACAACATAATTTAATTGGAGAAGAATTTCATCTTTTAGGGGATTCAGCTTATCCCATAGATACTTTTTTAATGGCACCCTACAAGGATTCAACCAGATATTGAGTAGCACACGAGTTATTATTGAACAGGCTTTCGGGAAATTGAAAGGCATTTGAAGACGGTTGAAATTCCTAAACATTCAAAATCTTTCCTATTTCAAGTACATCATTATAGCTGCTTGTATGCTACACAATGTCTGAATTAATGAAGAAAACATTGTGGTAGAAAATATAGAACTAGACTGGTGAAAAAGATCTGGAAAATATTTTTCCAGCAGAACATGATTCTGCCAATGCTGCAGGAAAACGCAAAAGGGATAAGCTTTCTGCAGAATTAGATCTATTTTAAAATTGAACAAAGGAAGAAAACTCTCCACACTTTCAACTTTGTTGCAATCTAGCAGACTTCTTTTTGGATTGAGCTTAGGGTTGAGAGTTTTTCTCTCCCATTTCTATCAATAAAAAACTTTAGCTTGTACATTTTATTCTCCCTAGTTACCATAGCACAAACCGGTTTGCGGGCCCGATTCTCGCCTCAGGGAGAGGAGAGCTTCCCGAGAGAACACATTTTTCGTCTTTATCATTCTCGTTCACTTTTCGATTACGCTAACAAGGACAAAAAACTTGTTTTCTCGGGGTGTTCTACTCCCTGGGGACGAGAATCGGGCCCCTGATTGTAAAATTGTATGGCAAAATATAAAATCTTGTTTATACAAGGTTATTGGTAATTTGTAATTTGATACATTCCTTGGGATATGTGATAGGAGATGAGATAAGGAGTAAATGCAAAATTATATGCAAAACTCAATTCTAGGATTTTTAGGATATTTCAATGTTCCTGTTTTTTTTTTTTAAATAGGCCTATAATTGCCTTAAAAATTAATTATCAAAAAATCTATCGTACATTTTTTCAACTTTTCTACTGTATTACTTACTCACCCAAGAATATGGTCTTATGCTGGAAACATTTCCGTCATGTTGCTTGATAAGTTTCATGAAAACAACCGATAAAAAATTCTGATACTGTATTTGAAAAAAATATTTTTCAAGTAATTTTATCTAAAATTTTCCTATCACGGATATGTTTCCGGATATTTTTTATTAGAAACATAAGACCATGGTGTTGGGCAAGTAATCAAAAAAAAAGTTGCCAAATGGGAGGGAAATAGTTTAAACTTCCCATGAATGAGAAAGTTTGAAAGTTTTTTTACAGATCTTGAGCCAGCGGTTTACCCCTTGGTAATTTTGAAGTCTAAGTTTTTAAGAAAAACAGAAACATTGGAATATCTCAAAAAATATTGAGTTTTGTATAAAGCATCTTACAGTTAAACTCCTTACCGCGTCCACTATCACATCTCCAGGGGAATGTATCGAATTGCCAATAACCCTGTATATGAAAAATTGTTTCATTTAGGTATATTATTCTAAAATAATTAAAGCACAAATTAAAAAAAAAAAAAAGGTAAAAGCGACTTCATTTTTTTATTATTCAGTCGAACTACTCAAACTACTACTACTAATAAAAAAGAAATCAAAGAAAAGATTGATAAAATATAAATTCTGAAGTCTTCAGGAACTTGAGTAAATTAAAAAAAACTACTAGTTAATAACTTCCTATAGGCATAATTTCAAAAAATTAAAGTAGGTATGTACTCAATCTATATATACAGGGTGTCCACTTAGTGCGATATCGGACGATATCTCCTTACAGGGTGATGCAAGAAAAAAAAATTAAATTACAAAGTTGTTTGATACTCCAATTAGTTAAAAATATTTTTGAACATACAGGGTGCTCCGTTTATGGGGTATGCGACAGAACTTTGTTATTTTAAATGGAACACCCTGTATGTGATTGCATATTAGGATTCTACGTAAAATTCTGAGCAGATTTCATGTAATAAACCCTATATCTGAGTTCAACTATTTTGGAAATATTGACTGTTGAAAATTGACTTTTTGCAACTTTGACAGGCTGTAAAACCTAAATGGTTAATTTTAGAGGAAAAGCGATTTTACATTCCTATTTTAGATTTTCATAAACTATCATTTGACACCAACTTTGAATTTAACCGGAGATCAAATTTAACTAACTGGAATTTTTAATCATGGATTAAATTCCGGTCCGGAATAACTAACCTTTCTTATTTTTATGGTGTTCAGAAGTTCTCGTTCCTTATTCAGCTGTCTTAGTACCGCTTCATTGCTGGTATGTGCGGTCCAAGGGATTTTGAGGATTCTCCAATAGCACCACATTTCAAACGCTTCTATTTTGTTCATGGTGTCAGCTTTAAGCGTCCATGTCTCACATCGGTACAAGAGAATGCTCCATAGGTAACAGCTGAGTGTTCTTAACCGCGTCTGGACTGTGAGGTTTCTATTGGTGAGAGATGGTTTCCATTTATTAAATGCCCTACGCGCCCTTTCAATCCTCGCTTTTACCTCTTCGTCGTATATAGCTTCACTGTTAAGCCAGCTGCCCAAGTATTTGAGATGTGGAACAAGTTGGAAGTGTCATATTCGTATCTTATGTTGTTTATTATTTCGCCTCCTATCTTTGCTCCCTCTGCTCTGTCATGTAAAGCCTCACGAAATTATGAAATATGTTCTCTGAATAGAGGTTGAACAACAGGGGTAACAGAACACATCCTTGTCTCACGCCGCTTTTTATTGGTATTTCATCTGTAACGTTGTCATCCAGCCTGACTACAGCTGTTTAACTATGATACAGATTTATGAAAAGGCTAGTCTAAGTTATATGAGACATTAATAATAATAATAATAATAATAATAATAATAATAATAAAATGTCTTTATTGAAAACAAATGTTCATGACATTTGCCCATAGGGCGAAGATTAGCTTAAAGCTACTCATTAATATTGAGAAAGTTTGGTTTGTTTGACTCGATCGAATGCTTTTTCGAAGTCAATAAAACATATATAGATTTTTTTTCGAAACTCACAGCTCTTCTGCAATAATGTCCTCATGCAGGGCTTCATGCGTTCCCAGCCCGCTGCGGAATACAAATTGTTTCCTGCCAATATTGTGTTCACATTTGGTGTATGTTTTATTGAGAAGTATCTTTTGGAGTATTTTTAAAGTGTGACTCATTAGGCTTCTTAGTCGGAAGTCATTAGATCTATTAGCTTTGTTGGTTTTGGGTAAGGCGATAAAGGTCGATTTCTGCGAGTCGTCGGGAAGTTTCTCAGTTTGGTGAGCCTGGTTGAAGAATACCGTCAGAATAGATATGCCTTCGTCATCGAGTATTTTTATTAGTTCTATAGGAATTTCATCGGGTCCTGGGGTTTTTCTTACTTTGAGAATGCTTCGATCGTGCTCTGATATATAATCACTCAATAAATTATCTGATCTTTCTCTTGTACTCGCTATGATTGTTGTTTTTGTGTTTTCGTCTCTCCTTCATAAAGTTCAATATATCCTGCGTCATCCATTCTTTTTTGCCTTTTTCCTCTTTGGTTTTACCAGCTGCTGAATTCTTCCATTTCTCAAAGAAGTTTCGAGATCTCGCCAATTTTCTTCGATACTTTTGTTATCAAGGCGAAGTGATATAATTGTGTGTATATTACCATTTGTTTCCTTGATTAGTTTTTTGGTGGTTTCGAGGTCCTTTACTATATGTTGTATTTTTGAGGTCTTTGATGGTTAGTTCTTTTTTTTTTTCAAATTTTACGCTTAGTACTGAGCAGAGCAAGTTATGATCAGAGTGCACGTCAGCTCCAGGATAGGTTTTCGTTGACACAATTTTTTATGTTTCTTGCAGCTTCCAATTATAGACATATCTAAAGTTTCCAAGATGTCAATCCGAACCAGATTCTTAAGCGCCCTTTATATTTGCCGAAAATCAGTGTAGTTGGGCAAAAAACTGTGCCCACACTCCTCTACGCCTTTTTTGTGGTTTACGTCAATAAAGGAATTTAAACATGAGCCCACTTCCTGTGCTCCTCGACCGGTTACTTACCTCTTCTTTTCACTCAAAACAATATGGGCGATTTGTGGAGCCTGACTAAACCTCCTCGATAAATTAAACAGAAAGTCCAGCGTTAAAGCTCTTTTTGACCGGGATGCATACAAGAATAGGTCGTAAGTTTTTGTCAAATCTAGATCAAGAAAACAGTTGTTGACAAAATTATCACGTAAGTATTATAGCATCCCAGAACAATACAAACAAATAACTATTTTATCTATAAGCGTTTGGTTATGACGTTTTTACATAACGATTTTTCTAATATTTGAGTTGTGTCATGAGACTCATAATACAACTAGTGGTGTTATGGACGAGGTTATGAATCTATAACACAACTATTTTTGGTGATTTGACAAATGTCAAAGGTAAACCTGTGAAGGTAAAATGAAGGTAGACAACTACTGATAAACGAAAATAATTGAAAAAACATTCTTATTTTTCGTTCATAAACGCATTTGTAATGTAAATAACTATAACTC